AACAGAGAGAGGCGATGGGCAAAAATTCTCTGAATTAACTAAAAAGGGAAAGAGGGGAAATTCTGGAAATCTAGAAAACTATTCTTCATGTTATCCCTGACAAAATTCTAGAATGAATTATTAATCCGATGGTTTGTGAGCCTTCAGAAATGAAAGTGGCTCTTGGAACTGATTCACAAAGCATGTGATTGTGTGGCAAAGCAACTTCATTTCCTTTCTGATAGGTTTATAAATGATTTATGACGTAAATATAGAGGGAGAACTCAAACGATTTCAACAACCTCACCACTCCCAGTAGCAAAAAAAGAGGTTTTAGGTTCAAAGCCCAAAGTGACCTGACACAAGCCTCAAACTGCTTTCACGTCAGGTATTTTGAAAGTCCATGTAATTTTGCATTCAATTCCACCTTATTTGCATATTTACCTAAATATTACATTACATTTTATTTAAAAAGTTAAAAAAAATTACTTTGCTTTCCATTTCTTAATCTTGGAGGATGACTGACACTCCAGGAGCAAATTCTGTATTTATCCCGTGGCTTTGTCCACTCAGTGGATAATGGTTCAGCTAAATGGATTTGTAGCTAGACTACAGGCTCCAGACTCAAAATGCATTTTGAGCAATGGGTTCAAATCAGTGAGATGAAATGTAACAATAATGAATGTAAATTCCCACATTTACATTTCAACAATAATATTACCAGCACCACTGCTACCAGAAACTATAACAAGAGCTGTTTTTATTGGACACTTACGTGTACCAGGTGCTGTGCTAATCATTTATAATGCTTCATTTTGCTCAGTTCTCTCCACACCTCTACAGAATAGGTACTTGATTATTAGTAACTCCTTTTTATCAATGTGGAAACCAAAGCCTACAGAGTAGTGTCTTCCATGTCATATATCTACATGGTAAATATCTGTGCTGGGATTCAAATCTAGCTGATCTTCTTTGAAGCCTAACCTTAGCATGCTAATACTGCTCAGAAAGTCAGCTGAGCAAGTACAGCCAGGTAAAGTTGCAGCTCTGAGACTTTGAGTTTACTACCCTCTTAATATAAGCATGGGGAGGGGGAGGGCTACAAAATGAACAGTGTTAGGTGTGGTGGATGGAGGGCTCAGGTAAAGGGAGACCAGAGCCCCAATGGTCAGCCCAAACTATCTGCGTTCATTTTTTGGGGGGTGCACAAAATGAACAGTGTTAGGTGTGGTGGATGGAGGGCTCAGGTAAAGGGAGACCAGAGCCCCAGTGGTCAGCCCAAACTATCTGCGTTCATTTTTTGGGGGGTGCGATGTTAAAATATTGACAATTTCCCATATGTCTAGAGGATAGCAGATGTGGAGGTCATGCCTTAGGTGGATACAGAGTTGAGAATATTTCAGCATGAAGAAGAGAAGATTAAGTGGCGAAATGTGATCGTTATCCTGCTCATTATTTTTTGCAAGTTGTGGGAGAAACCATTTTGATATTGATTTGAAAAAAGATGCCGCAGTTCAACATGATTTATAGTTTCTCAAGTGGTGCCTTTTGCCTTTTCCCACACCCTTCCTGGTCTTCCCATGGGATCTGCCATCTCTGTGGCTGATGTTTGATCAGCATCTCTGAACTTGAGAGCTCTAAGAAACAGGACAGCTGGGTTCTGATCTCAGAGCTCCTGTAATTTTGTTTTCGACTTTATGCAAATCTCCTCATCTCTTTGTTTTACCTTTTTTTACACTTCCACCTAATTTACAGGCTGAAAAGAGGTGATACATGTGGAACTGTTGAAAAGTATAAAAACATCATGCATTATTATTACTAATAATCTTTGAGTTAGTTGCCAGGATTATTCTTGAATGAATATCACACCTGTTGGGGACAGTACCCTTCAATATCCATGCTCTCGCCTCCTCTAGTATAAAAACATCATGCATTATTATTACTAATAATCTTTGAGTTAGTTGCCAGGATTATTCTTAAATGAATATCACACCTGTTGGGGACAGTACCCTTCAATATCCATGCTCTCGCCTCCTCTAGACCACATATTTTTAGACTTTTGGTAATGCTGCACTGCTGTTTTTCCTTTTAAATCCAGTCTGGCTTCTCCTCTTAAAGCAAGAGGACTTTTAAAACTAGTGGCTGGTAGTATAACTGGCACATATATCGAATCTCCTTAGCCTGGGCTGTTAAGTAAGTTTAATTAATTTACTAAGTTAATGTTCCACTGCCAGCAACAGAGCCTCATTGCCATCAGCTGGGGAGAGGGAATTGAAAGCCTAAATGAGCTCATTTTTTCACAGTTGGAATTAGGGACCAGTTAGCCAGTTGTGTGGGTTTTCCAATTTCTCCATCTGCCCTGGGGGGATTCAGGCAATTCACTCCCCCAACACTAAGTGTAAGAGCAGGAAGAGGAAAGGGGAAAAGGAAAAACAAAAACAAAAACTGTCCTCAACATTTGCTTCCACTTTCAGAACTGGTAGCATTGTCTGCATATTGCTTGTTAAGCTGGGTTTGGAGAAGCTTTTGCTAATGTTCCTAATAGATTTGGAAAAGAGAAAGGCCTCAGTGAAAGATATTTACCATGTGAATTTTCATTGCAGGGTGTGCAGATAAAGGGAAAACAAATAAACAATAAAAGAATGGAAACAAAATTACAGAAATTTGCAAAATTTGACAAATGGTGGCCTGTAGTTGCCACAAGCTAATGGCTTGCAATGATTAATAAGAGTAAAAATAATTGCATTTCATTAAGATTGATGACACCCCATTTAACCTCCCCACTCCTTTCAGCCCTAAAGTGGAAAGAGATGAAGTTCTCATCTATAATCGCTCCTGTAACATTACCATGGAAACTGAGGCAGAGATGGAGTGTGAGACGTCTAATCAGCCAATTACCGCCAAGATTACTGAGATACGGAAAAGCTGGGGCCAGAACACTCAGGTATAATCAAATCTTTTTTACAGACTGATTCAAACAGCTCAAATTAAATTTGTAATATTGTGTACATTAAAAAAACAATTTAGTCCAAATGGCAGCGATATATAATATTAAATGCTTTCAAACTTTGAGGAGCTGGTCTAATGCACAACATCTGAATTCATAGTTAACTATGGTTAATCATATATTTTCTCAAAAATAAATGAGTGCTGCCTGAGCTCTTTTAAAGCGAATTCTGAACAGATAATCTCAGCATTTTGTCCTGATTTCTCCATGAGTGTTTGAAAGGGGCTCTCTGTGGTTTATTTTTCATAAAATAAATGGCATACAATGTAACCAGGCCCTTCTGGAAGGCTTCCAAATCACCCAGCCATCCTCAGCTTGGTGGGACAGCAATGTTTGCTGGTATATCTGGTTCACCTCTGTTCCGTGGGGAGCAGAATGGAAACCTCAGCTTCTGAGGAGATTTCATGGAAATTAGAACTGAAAAGGACCACGGGGTCATTTGGTCCAGCCTTTCTACCTCAGCAGCTCATCCATTTTAAAATTGTCTAAACCACTCCCTCCAAGTGGCTCTTCTAAGAATGTGTTCTTAAGTCCCCTGTGAGAGATTTCACAGCTTCCCCAGGGAATTTGCCAGAATTGAAATCAGAGGCTAAGGGCTCTTTGGAAATCCGATAATCTTTTAAGACTCCCCAGGCTTTTCACTGTACACAGATAAAAAATAATATTTATTGAGCACCTAGCCCCTTAGGTGCCTTTCTCTTTATGAAAGCAATTCTCAGATTTTCCTCTTTTTGTCTCCTTTATTTGGAACAAACATTTATTGAGTGCCTATTATCTGCCACACTCTGTACCAGATTCTCCCATGGATGCTGCTTCAGTCAAACTGTCCTGATCCAACACTATACTTCCTGGGTTTGTAATGTATGTTTTCCTATACCTTTTGTACTGGTGCTGAAAATGTATGCAGTTATATAAAAATAACACTTTTTATTTTGTCCTTCTTACACCATTTCCAATCTATCTTCCCACCCCCTGGGGCATTGCTGTCCATCCTACCTGCTCCCCAGGCTTTTCACTCCCCCTTACCTTCCCTCCAGGTGACTGCCCAGGGCTGTCACTTCTTGCTTCAGTGTGCCCCCCAAAATGCCTCTTCCTTTCAATTCCATGCCCATTTTAATTCTTCATCTCCAGGACCACTGTCCCCTAATCGCAGCCTCCACTCCTCTGCCTCTTTCTCAGCAGTCGGCTGTCAATGTTTCAAAAGTTGATTATAGTGACTTGGGACTGCTGTGGGTCAGTGAGCATCCTTAGGCCTCTCTGGGCCTCAGTTTCCATCTGGGTGGGTACTAACCTGGTGGTGTTGGGATACTTATGGGAGCAAATGCCAGTGAAAGAGAGAGAGAGGCAGGTTAACACAGTAGTCAAGTGTGGGGGCTTTGGAGCTAGACTGCTGGATTAGAATATATCACTTGCTACCGGGGGACTTCAGGCAAGTTACTTAACCCCTCTATGCTTTCGTTTTCTCATCTAGAAAGTGGGGATAATAACAACACCCACCTAACAGTGTTGCTGTGAGGCTGACAGCATGTGAGTCACTGAGAACTGCATTTCACACATAGTAAATGTCCAGTGTTAGCCGTTACTGGCAGCACTAGTTCACTAGGAATGGTGCTAGAGAGTGACATGGAATTATTTCTCTGTAGCACTTGCTGCTTCGGCCAGATCATTTCATTTCTTAGATTTTATTTAATTTTCATCATCTCAAAGTCTAATTTTGAATTTTTCAAGAGGCTTAAATGCCTCACTCATTTAAAAATATTTATGCAACATATATGAGGGACCTCAAAAAGTTCATGGAAAGATTCTTATTATCCTTTAATTCATTTCTTCCATGAACTTTTTGAAGTACCCTTGTATTTATTGAGTTCCAACCATGTTCAAGGTCCTCAGCCATGCTCTGAAGGAGACAAAAAATAATATGGAAAGAGACCCCACCTTTAAGGGTTAGTAGGAAAGTGAGACCATATATGGAAATATATAAGGTTCAAAGGAGGGTCAAATAATCAATTCATCACAGTTGGATGAAATGTTGGACATCATTCAGATCAGCCATCTCATTTCAGAGATGAGTTAACTGAGATTCAAAAGAGGGGTGACTTGATAAAGGTCACATAGCTAGTTATTTGGTATCATAACCCATGTGGCCATAAGTCATTGTGGAAGTATCTTCAGGAACCAGGGGATCGAGTCTATCAAAACTCACTAGGCTAGTGCTAATGTGTAGGGAACTCCAGTCCTAAGAGGGTGAGGGGGTGATGGATACCACCCTTGAAGGTTCCAGATGTGATAAGCATTGTGCTCAAGTGTTGGTGATAATGTTACAGTTTTAAACAGTCTATTGGGAGCAGGACCCTATCAAGTAGCCAGGAGTACATGGAAAACACAACAGGATGCCATAAGACAACCAGAAGTTTTGAGGGATTCTGAAGCACAAATAGCACTTTAGGTAGATGGGTAGAGAAACTGCAGCAGAATAATCACAACCCTAACCAAGTTTAGAGAAAACTGTAAAGAGTACAGCTATACTTTTCAGTTGATCTCTGGAAGAAATTCCGAGAGTGGGATGGGGCAGACACCAGGGAAATTAATGAGGACTGCTATGCTGACATTTCCTTTCTTCTTTCTCTCCCTTTCCTCCTTATTTCCCTGTGTATATGGATTGTTTGGATCTGTGGCTCTCGAGATGAAGTATTAAGAGCAACTCATAAAAAAGGAGTGATTATTTGGGGACAGGAGATGGATTTTTTTTTATTGTGGGTGTTTTTAGACTTTTTTTTATTGGGGCTGTTGTTAGACTTGGCCAAACCCAAGGCAACCCTTGAACCCCATGACGGACTGAGAGAAAGGAAGAAAGGGCAGTGGAAAGCAGCTTTCTCCTCATTTCTGCCTCCAAAGAATCCCTGTACTTTCACTTCATTTATCCAGATGTCTTACCCAGCAATTTTAGTTGTGATAACTTGAAGGAGTTTCTCTGAACATTTGACCTTCCCTACCAATGAAAAAAAGAAGTCAGAAAAAATGCTGTTAAAGTTCTCTGGGAAAAGATTTTGAACCTAGAATCCTACACCCAATCAAATCCTATTTGGAATAAGAACAAAATAAAGACATATAAGCTACACAAAATTGAGAAAGTGTATCTCCTCATGTGCTCTCTGAAAAATGATGTACTCTGGCAAATTGTAAAATGAATTCAAGAAAAGAGATAATATGGGATACAAGAAACAGTGATGAACAAGAACCTGAAAAACAGCAAGAACAGAATAAAAATTGTTGATCGTGTGGCTGTGAAGCTTAATGTAGTTGTTAGGAATGAATTTTTAACCACATAGAAGCAGAAACCTACTGTTTCAAGTGGGTATAACAAAAGGAGAATTAATCAAAATATATTTCAGGCATAAGATAATAGAGGGTATAAGGCTATAATCTTTGAAAGAAGGGAACATAGAAGAAAAGTGGCTTTCTCTCTGAGAGTACTATTCAAAACGCAGCACAAGGAAATGAAATCCAAACAGAGAGGAATAGTCTCACTGGGTGGGCAACAACAGATTGGAGTTCAGGGCTGCTGATGCTTGAATTTTTAACCACATAGAAGCAGAAACCTACTGTTTCAAGTGGGTATAACAAAAGGAGAACTAATCAAAATATATTTCAGGCATAAGATAACAGAGGGTACAAGGCTGTAATCTTTGAAAGAAGGGAACATACAAGAAAAGTGGCTTTCTCTCTGAGAGTACTATTCAAAACGCAGCACAAGGAAATGAAATCCAAACAGAGAGGAATAGTCTCGGTAGAATTTGGAGAGCAGGTACCAGAGAGGAGGAAGTATGCACAGAAGGAGATCCAGAAATCTGTGTCTCTTGAATCTTTTGTCAAATACTTGATGAATCACGTGAGTACATTTTTGTGAGGTTTGGCAAGCTTGAAGTGAACATAAACGCCAAAGTACTGGGAATACTATGGAACAGCACAATACTGGGAGATTTTTGAGGGCTGACCAGTTGGAATAGAGAGGCTTCATTTAAAAATTGAATTGAACCCGCGGGGAATTGAGTTGAGACCTCAGAAAGCTCACAGTAAGGAATAGGATATTCTAGCCCTACAGTGAATCTACTCTAGACCCACTCAAATGGATCCTGATAGGATTAAATTGTTCTTCCACTAAGTTAGTTGCCTGCTAGAGCAAAGCTCAACATTCTTTAGAGGAAGACAATGAAATCCACACTTTCAAGACCATAGCATCCACAATGTCCAATATACCTTCAAGAATCTGAAGAAAAAGCAAAAATGTAATCAATTGAAACAGAGTGATGAATAATAGAGATGTTGAATTTACTAGATAAAGACTTTAAAACAGCTATTATAAACATATTTAAGGTTTTAAAGAAAAAGATAGAAACAATAAGTGAAGTTATAAGGAATCTCAGCAGAAAAATGGAAATTATGTCAAAGAATTAATGAAAATTGTGAAACTGAAAGAAGTTATATGTGTAATAAAAATTTTACTAGATAAGCTTAATATCAGATCGGACCTTGCAGAAGATGAAATCAGTGACCTTAAAGAAAGGACAACCAAAGCTATGCAAATTGAAGAACAGAAAGATAGAAGAGGGAAAAAATGAACAGGTATTTAGTAATCTTTGGGACAATATTAAGTTGTCTAATATTTGTGTAATTGGAATTGCAGAAGGAAAGGAGAAGTAGGAGGGATGAAAAATATTTCAAGAAATAATAGCAAGGATTTTCTAAATTTTTCTTCTTTCCCTTTCTGCTTTTCTTCCTTTGAGACCCACCTCTTTTATTCACTGTGTGTCTTCAGGGTTGTGTGTCAGCAGAGAGAGGTGCTGTGGAGAGCAGCATTGAGCTAGTTGTCAGATGAGGGACATAAGATATTCCTTTCTTATACTTGACCATATCCCCCTGACCTGAAGCTGGTTTGA